AATGAAACTGTTTCATGTATTTTTCTAACATTAATGAAACTGTTTCATGTATTTCTCTAAAATTAAAATAATGAAGATGATAATATCTATGATTAACATCCTCCACAATAAAAATGATTAATCAACCTCTCATAATTACAAAAAAAATGAACAAAATAAAAAATTATGATTGGTTGAATGCAGTTTGCACGGTTTGTACAAATTGAATGGTTTGCATTTGATCGCTCCTATATATATATATATATATATATATATATATATATATATAAACATTCTTTTAGAAAAGGTATACCAGTCAAAATTACCAAAAAACCAATAAGCATTTTGTGTATTTCAACTTTATTTTTTAGAGGGTGGATACATACAATTAATAAAGCATTGCTTGGAAACTCCAAATGACACCATTTAAAGATTTCAAATTCAACAACAATTAGAATACATTTACTTCAACAATTATTTTCTTGTAGTTAATTAATATTGTATTTTAGAGACTAAATATCAACAACAATTACAATACATTTAAAAACCATCATATTACTTTCATTTTCTAAATATTATAAAATATAATTCCCTATTGAACCCACATTACAATTTAGGGTATCAAGTTCATTAATTAATTACAAGTTTTACAACAAAAAAAACCCTAAGTTCATCCCCAATATTTTCTTCTAAATTTAAAGGGATTCTTTTTTCCGCTATTTCAGATAAAAGTTTAACATATCGTTCGGAGCAAATTCTTTTCAAATATTTAGAATTTCTAAAATAACATAACTGTTGTAATTAATTAATCGGAAGGGCAAAGCCATGAATCTACATTACCTTGAGTTTGATCGCCACCATTTCTTGATGAACTAACATTCTCTAAACCCTTCTCCGTTTGATGATCAAAATCTAAAGAGTTCAACTTATACCCATCAACTTTTGGGTTATTATGATTACCTCCACTAAAATTCACCAAGTTCTCATTTTGGTCCCTCCATCTTGTTGAAGAACTTGGAAACCCACTTAGAAGATCCGATTGTTGATTATCAGACTTTGTTGTACCCAAAATGGGTGAATTTGCTTGCTGAGGAATCTTTGTTTGTAAAAGAGATTGAAACGAAAATACGGGGTTTTGTGAAGTCAACAGAGTTTGGGGTTGTTTTTGGAAACTCTGAATATCAGAAGGGGGTAATTGGTAATTACTTGAGGAAGCATCCACCGAGGAAATAGAAGGCTGTTGTTGTAGCTGAATTTTCTGCGGCGACGGCCGTACAGGATACAGCGGCCCTATCCCACCACCGCCGAAAAGATCAAGGCGGCGGGAGAACGGTGAAGAAGAGGAGGCGGAGAAAGGTGCAGTAGGGATGCCGGTGAATTCTTGAACCATTTGCCGGAAATTAGTGGTGTCGGTGGTGAGAACAGTTGTGGGTGCTCGCCGGGAAGCTCGTGTACGCTTCTTTGGATTCTTGGTTGTAACTCCGACTTGATGATGATCGGAAACACGACCCGGGTTTGCATTTGAACTCACCGGCGGCGACTGGTTAGCGTACATGCCTTGCTGAGAATTCAAGTAGACGTCGTCGTTTTGGGTTGCACCAAAGCCGGTGAAGGTCGGATCGGGTCGTACGTTTCTGGACCAAACAGGATCATAAACCGGGTTTGGATTGGTTGAGTTCGAAGGTGCAAAATACGAAGCTGAGGAAGGATTAAAGAAAGTGGTATCTAGGGTTCGATGATGGTGAGATGAGGAAGACGACGGTGGTGGTTGGAGAATCGGATTGTGGTTAAAGTGGGAAGAAGAATGGTTTAAGAAGGAAGAGATGGAGTCAGTTCTTGAATCATAGTCTTCATCAGCAGCAGTAGCAGCAGCACCGCTTCCGCCTCCGCCACCGCCACCAACACCGCCGCTTGAAGACTGTAAACTGCCACTATTACCAGAATCCATAGGGAAAAAGGTGATGGGATGGAAATGGAAGAGAAAAGAAAGTAGAATTATGGGTTTATAGGAAGAGGATCTGGTTGTTGAAGAAGAAGAAGAGGAGAAAAAAAGGAAAGAAAGAAAGGAAAAGAGGAGTTATTTAAGGAAGAAGGAAGATATGAAAGAGAAAGGTAGAAAGTGGTTTTATGTTGATGCTCCCTGTTTTCACCCTTTGCTTTTCAAGGGTATTAATGTCCATTAACTCTCTCTCTCTCTCTCTCCCTAATATTAATATATATATATATATATATATATATATATAAAAGCTTTGGTTATTATACAATTCATAATATTTGTGCAACTAATACAACTCAATCTTAATCGTTCATTTCATATAATTAATATGTGATTTCATAAAAGTTTTGATTGTTTCATAATATAAAATATTGATCATAATTAATGAACCATATTCATCTTCCATAAATATTCAAATCATAATAAWTGAACTCTCATCATTTTCATAAATATCTCAATTTATTGGGTTGTATTAGTTGTACAAATGCAACAGGTTGTATTTGAAACAAACTCTCTCTCTCTCTCTCTCTCTCTCTCTATATATATATATATATATATATATATGGTTAGGTTCATGTGAGACAAAGAGTTTTTCGTGAGACCTGTAAGACCAATTTATGTTCATTGATCAACTTTATAAGCTAATGATCTAATGGTCTAAAGTTGCACGGTAGCAATTTTGTAATTATTGAGAAGTCTCGTGGTAATTTTGTGATTATGAATATTTAGATTATAGATCTAATCCTGTTTGGTCTAGTATATATATATATATATATATGTGTGTGTGTGTGTGTGTGTGTAGATTTGGGATCAAGTGAGACCAAGGTTTTTCATGTGACCCATAAGACCAATTCTCAACCTTGGATTATATCTATAGTCTAAACATTCATAATCACAAAATTGTCACGAGACTTCTCAATAATCACGAAATTGTCACCGTGCAACTTTAGACCATTAGATCATTAGCTTATAAAGTTGATCAATTAACATAAATTGGTCTTACGGGTCTCACGAAAAACTCTTAATCTCGCGTGAACCCAACCCTATATATATATATATATATATATCATAATTTGATAACTTTATAAAGTTATGTGAATATTGAAAATCAGTACATCATATGTTATATCATCTGATATTTTTTTTCATCTAACGCTAAGATTTAGTTTTAATTAACGTATATAAAGAAGATCATCTTGTTTTTATTTTGTTTGAAGTGTCTTTTGGGTTTGACCCGGTAAATACCCAACATGGCCTTTCATTTTGATTATAGAGAGAGAAAGAGAAACTTTGCCCCAATCAAGCGAAATGAAATTAAATTATGGGTGTTAACTTTACGCATCCTCTTTATATTAGAATCTGGTTAATTTATACATTGAAAATGTAAAAAGTAAGTCCTAATGTTGATTTGTACGATGAAGAAATTAGTAGATACATCTTATTTAACCTACCTCGTATATGATTGTTTCACATGTATTTGTTTTACAGTGAAATTTTTTACTTATTTTTGAAATTAAAAATACACTCAGAAAGTTTCACATTATAAACCATATACATATGAAACAAACACATTATGAATCAAATATATATTAGTTCATATTTAAAACACTAGACATGGACGGAAAAAAATACGCAATAATAACTTAATTCTCATATTTCTCACAATTTATGGGGTTTACATATGAGCATGCCTATTATATAAAGAGAGAGGAGGATCAAATGAGAACATGATCAAAATAAGAGAACAAGAAAACAATGAAATCGCATGTGACTTTACATATGATTAGGGAACACGATCAATGCAAGGGTGAACAGACGACTTAGTGCGCGACCTAATAAGATTGTGGTCAAAGTCACGTGAATCTCATATTATTTTACATTATTTGACCGTTTTCATATGTTAACCCGTGTAATTCACATATGAACTGTTTTAGTTGATTCACATATGAACTAATTAAGTAATTCACCTATGAACCCTTGTGATTCATATATGAACAAATTAACTAATTCACATATGAAACCATATGATCTAAACATGAATTAATTAACTGATTCATATGTGAACTAATTAACGGGTTCACATATGAACATATATTTCATATGTGAATCATACGGGTTCACATATGCACTCGTTTGTCACCTATTTGTAAAAGTTACAAACCTATCCCTCTATCTTCCGAAAAACATGAAACACTCTTTGTGATTCCCTGTTTCGCAATAGAAATGTAGTTATCAACCGAACCTGCCCACATGTATATAGGCTCTTAATCATTTGAGAACTCTTAAATTTATGAGATTCATCCTAAGCCACTAATTTAAGATAATTAATATTATTAATTAATGAAATTATTAAGTATATAATTTTCATTATTTACTAAATAAAAGAATGCATTTTAAAGAAATTTTCATACATCTCTCCCCCTCTCTCTCTCTCTTCCCTCTTCTCCTCTCTTCGTATTACACACACACACACACAAAATTTTGTATGCATACAAGGTGAACACAATGTAAATAATCTTAAATTTTTTACTAGGGTGTTCATAATGTGTTCACAAAATTCACATGTTGTTTTCAGACCGAACCAAGGAGGCATTCTGGCAGGCACGACATGTAGGAAGGCCGACTACAAAAATGGTAGGTTTGTATTTAGTTTTATTGATTTAGTTGGTATTCACAATATGTTCATAAGCTATAACATATCCCATAGATTGATGAGTTCACAATGTGTTCATATATAAACTATAATGTAATTCTAAGAAAGTGTTCACATTATGTTCATATTTAATTATGTGTATATGTGTACATATGTTATGGAGAGAGGAGATATGAGAGAAAAAAAAATAGGAGAGAGGAGAGATGAGAGAAAGATAAGAGAGATGAGGGAAAAGAGAGAATGAGAGATCTTAATTTATATTAGATTTTATTTTCAACTAATATTTTGTGGTTTAAATTAGATATCACGGATCTCGCAACGTGTAAAGTTCCTTGAAGAATACACCCCATATATTATAATGGGAGGTTCATGCGAAAGATCGTGAGAGAATGAAAGTTAAAGTAAGAAACGTAATAAGGGATTTGGACCCTTGATCACCTTTAATCTCAAACTCATCCATGAATCGTGTTTGATATGGGGATTGATCTAGTGCATCTCGGTGCATCTCATCCTAATGTACATCTAAGGGTAGAGATCTTTTCTTACGCTTCTCATCTTAACTCTATTTTTCGCCGGAACCCAACCGTGGGAGGTTCAAATAAAAATGTTAATCTTGTGAGAAAGAATGAAAAGAAAATTAAGCAAACATTCATTTGTATAAATCATTGAAAAAATTCATTTGAAAATGCATATGTACCCATATGAATCATCTACAATTTGATTCAAATATGCATTTTCAAATAGATTTTTTAAGAATAATTTACATATGAACCTTCCATTAGCCTTACCTTCACACTTTCTCACGATACATTTTGTAATATAAAATTTCAAATACTTAGTTTACATAAAACTTATGCTTTGCAAACTTACTGATAAACTACTTCGTAGAATAGATAATAATGTAAAATAACCTAAAATATCATATTAAAATAATTGGAAAATATAAGGGTATAATTAGAGTAATTCACATATTTAGTGATTTTGGTTTATGTGTTATAACGTATCAAGTCCCTCTTTTGAAAAAACTATGGATTATGGCCCAGTGGTTTGCAATTTATAAAACATCGGGTCCCTACTTCTAACTCCGTTAATTTTTTTTTGTTAAATAGGTTAAGTGGGAGGTATTGTAGTCATTCTATTTCTTTTATTTTCTATTAAAACAACAAGGACCAAACATGTAATTTACTCTATATACCATATTATAATATTATAGTTATATAGCGTTGGGTTCTGGTGAGAAGTAGAGTTATAGTGAGAATCGTAAGAAATGATCTTCGCTCTTGGATGCATATTAGGATTCGATGCACGAAGATGCACCAGATCAATCCCCGTATCAAACACGATTCATGGTGGATTTGAGATTAAAGATGATCAAGGTCCAAATCCCTTTTTATGTTTATCACCTTAACTCTTCTTCTCACACGATTCTTCGTCTAAATATATGTATATATATTTACACATACACATACATATACACACACTCACACAGTCGTCAGTGATACCCATAACGAGAAACACCCTTACTCTCCAGTTGCAGATCTAGAAACTTAGGTGACTAGTCACACACGGTGAAGGTGTTAAATTTTTTCGAAATAGAATGATTCAAATGAAGCAAAACATTCGGTTACATGTACTTGATCCCCCCCGCCCACCCACACCCACCAAGAGATGATAAAATATGGCAAAAGCTATACCGAAAAAGGGGGGCTAAAAGATCTACTACTTTAMTTCCGGTTTCAAAAATAGATAACTTGTATCTAACTGTATAAAAGCAGACACAAATCTATGAATAGGAAATATTATACTAGTATCTATAGGACCTAAATTGTCAACATGCTAACTAAATAAAAGTAAATGTTTCGATTTAAATTTCAATTATTTTTCACTATTTCGATTAAACCGAATAATGGTATTCAAATGATTTATAATAAACCAAATAGTTAAAACAACAAACTATTAAACTACTTTGTAATAAAATCACATGTTATACATAATAATTTGTAAAAAATGTAGTAAAAAGAATTTATCTCTTTTTATATAATATATTTATATATTATCCACCAAAATTAATAACAATATTAATTAAGAGTGTCTCCTTGTTTTGGTTGGGGGGTTGAGGGGCACCAAAGGAAGCACAACTAAAAAGCCATTAAAAAGTCTCCTACCATGAATGGTTTTTAGGTGTTCAATGGGGCATTTTTCCATTAATTATAGCATAGTCTCACTTTCCTAAATTTAGAAAATAGTAGATGATTTTAAACTTTTAAATAAAACAACTTTAGTAATAAAATACTTAAAC